CGAGCCTAAGCATTTGTCTTGGAAAGCACCCTGGAAGACAAACCTAAAAGTGTGTTTTAATAATTGTCTAGGTGCCTCCCAATCCGGGCACATTGACATCACAGAGTATCTGAGTATCTGTTGGGGTAAGTGCTTCACTTACTTTTTTTTTTTTTGTACCGGGGATCAAACTTGGGTCCTTGCGCTTGCGCAGCAGGTGGTGAAACCACTGAGCTAAATCCCTGGCCCTACTTTTTTTTTTTAATGTAAATTTTTATTTTCAATTGACAATAATTTTGTTATGCGGTACAATGTGATATTAAGAAATATGTATACATTGTTCGATAATTATATAAACTTACCCATTATTTCATTTACTTTTTTTGTGATGAGAACATTTAAAATCTATTCTATACCATCTATGGGAGGTGTTTGCCTGTAATCCCAGCACCTGGAAGGCTGAGGCAGAAGGATCCCTGTGTCAAATATATATATGCAATGGTTACCATACTGTGCAATACATGTAGAAAAGTTATTCTTCCCAAGTGAAATTTTGTACCTTTGATTAACATCTTCCCATCCTCCTGCCCCCTTCAGCCTTTGGTAACCACATTCTACGCTCTAATTCTATGAGTCTGACTTTTATTTGTCTCACATATAAGTGAGATGGTGTTTTTCTTTCTATGCCTGGCTTTTTTTTACCTACCAGTGGTTGACTGTGTATCTTGGCTAGTGTAATTCTGCAGTCAACGTGGGACTACAGATATCTTCAACAACCTGGTTGCAATTTTATGTTTTTTATGTATTTATCTAGAAGTGGGAATGCTGTTTACTGTCCTTTAAAAAAAATTTTTGCTTCATATGTACATCTTCCAATAGTTATTTTTTATGGTCAGTTTATCAAATTTAGAGTTTGAGTCGGAATGTTAAAGTACAGTGAATTTTAGATTAATTTCTGCTTTTTTGAGACAGTCTCACTAAGTAGCTCAGGTTGGCCTTGAACACAACGGGATCGTCCTGCCTCGGCCTCTGAAGTGCTGGGATCACAGATGTGCATCACCACGGCCAGCTGATCTCTGCATATTCGGTATCATTGCAGTGCTGAATCTTTTGGCCTGGGAACCCAATAAGTCTCTTCATTTTTGCAAGCCTGGTTTCACACCCCACAATAAAGTTTTCTAGTTTTCTTTCCATGGGTTTCGCATGTACTTTTTGGAACTTAAGATGATACATTTTTGCTACTTTAAAAGTCTGATGCTCTACTCACTACACTAGCTGGGCTCTTCGTCTTGGCTACAGTACAGTACAGTACTTTCATGTCTTCTGCCTCCCTCTCATTGCTTCCTTTCACTCACCTTTTATCTTCCTTTCTCTTATTACCCAAATTGACCATAAACCCCACAGGACTGGACCAGATACCCTTACAATCTTCTGGGTGCCTAGGGTCAAACTAGGGGCTGGTTGCTAAGGCCAGAAATGCTGTCTGACTAGGAGAAAGACTGGATCCTCAGAAGCACTCCATCAAGAAGAACCTGGGGCCTGGGAGGAGATGAGACGCAGAGCCCCGGCCCTCCTGGTGGGGGTGAGTGTGGCTGGGGTGCGCAGGACTCTGACCTTGAGGTTGGGCCCGATGGCACTGCCTGGGGACGAGCAGGGACGCAGCTGCTTCTCCGCGCTGCCCACTGCCGGCGGTGGCGAGCCCGGGGCGGCCTCAGCATCCCAGCAGGGCCCTCCAGCTGGCCAGCCTTGCCCAGCCCCTGCCGGGTGACACAGGGTAGAGGTGGGGGGATACTTCCTCCTCCTTAAAACCCCCGGCTTGCATCTCGGTTCACCAGGTCATCCTACCTGGCATCCCACTGTGCCTTGCTCTACCTTCTCAGGTATTTTAGCAGCTGGTGCACGGTTGCTTTTCCCTACCCCACACCCATTTTTTTTCTTTTTTAATTCCTGGGGATTGAATCCAGGGCCTGCACATCGAGGTACATCCCCAGCCCTTTTTTGTATTTTTTATTTGGAGTCAGGGTCTCACTAAGCCGCTGAATCACCCAGGCTGGCTTTGAACTTGCCATCCTCCTGCTTCAGCCTCCGGAGCACGGGGATTCCAGCCGTGTGCCGCCAGCCAGAGCTACAATCGCCGTCTTTAACAGCCTTCCTTCCTCATTCTGTTTCAGTATCCAGATGGGGCAGCCTTCGGGGCGCTGGCTTCTTCCCTCCTGCGCGTTGGCCTCCGCCGACACTGAGGCAAGCCGGACGCTGGCATGGTAACGGCGGCTCCGCGCGCCACCCTGCAGGGCCCGGGCCCCCGAGTGCTCACGTCGCCCCGGCCTGGACTCTGCTATCTTCTCAGTGCCTGGGTCCTCAGGCTGAGTGCGAAGGAATCCTGGTCAGTTTTAATCCTCCTCGCACACAGCGCTCTTCGGGTGCTGACACCCACCCTGCCTTCCTGGCTCCTGTGCAGCTGCGGGCACTGCAGGTGACGCCTCCACCCCAGGGCAGTGTCGGCTGAGCGGCCGCTCTCCGCCATGGCAGCGAGGAAAGCCCCGACGGACGAGGACCCGAGGAAGGCCTCAGGGGACTTCTGGCCGCTCTGCAGCGCAGGCCGGCGACCTCCGGGGCCTCCTCCGCGCACTGCTTGAAATGGACGCATACACCCTGTCGCAGAATCCGCGAGGGCGCGTTCTCACCGCACGGCTGCACCCCACGCTCCGCAGCTCGCGCTCCCTGGGCCAAATCGCACCTGGCCGGAGTCGCCGGCCGCTCCGCCTCTGCTCGCGCATGCGCGGGAGCCACACACCCCCCCCCC